AGGGATTTGATTGATTTAAAGCTTGATCACGAAGCGAATTCAGTAAGCAAACCATTGGAAACAAGCGAGGAGGACTAGACGGCTGCTTCGTCCTTGTTCATAACTCTTCATCGGTACACATCTATAACCCCACTAGGTTTCAAACCTTGGATTTTCAGGTTAAAAAGTCATCTTGTTGAGTCACTGTAATGGGATCCAACGGCCTACCAATTTGTAATGAAGTCATAGGTGACTGCTACTGAAAAGTCACAAATAAGGTCGAAACAGCCGTCTAGTACTCTTTTTTCGATGATTGTGTAACTGATGTCAGTTATTGATCAAACCTGAACAAAGTATATTCAGAAAATATAACCTGATCAAAGTGCAAGGTTATCTTGAGCAGAATTAAGATGTGAAGAAACTTAAAAAACCTAAACAATAGCGGCCGACTAAAGTATTCTGTAGGTTTTCAAACGAATGAGAAGCAATTCACCAGTTTCTTCACAACTACTAGAAAAAGCTGAAATCTTCTATGATCAATCAAGCCTAGAGGTTATTTTAAATTCATAACCCTTGACTACCACTTTGTCCTCCTTCAGATATGAATGGTCATCCTTATCATTACATCAACAAACAGCTAGTGCAGAACTCCTTCAGTCATCAAGAAGACAATTTCATGAACTATACATTTGAATTGATTAATTGAATTAATAATAATCGGTGTCACGGAGAATACTGTATTTACTCGACGTATCTGCTTACTCTTAAGCTAAAGGGGGTACAATATTTTAACCAAGTTAAAAACGTGGTAATGTACATATCATATATAAGAGGACTTCTAATTCAATGGAAACTATATGTCTCCATTGCTTCAAATGTCTGACCCATTTTCATTGGTAAGATTTATGCCTCAAGAGATGACTATTATGGTATACAGTCTTCACTAAATCCTTTGTTGTAGAACATCATCATACTTCCCCTGGATTCAAAGTGGAACATAGGGCTTCAATAGGACATATGCACTTTGCATTATTAACTGTAGTCCTCTTCAGTTGTCTCAACAATTTCCTATGAGCTATCATCTACTCCTTACACGATTTCTATGTCACTTTCAGACTAACGCCCAACTCGTCGTTTCCCATTCAGTTTCCAGCTATGGACCAACCTGACGAGTGATGTCATTCAAGCGTCTCCTCAGTGTCCCCCCAATCCATCTCCATTTTCTTCAGAATATTTGTCGAGCAATAGGTTTCTGATTGGTTCGTTCTCAGAGTTGCTTGTCCTTTCTGGCCTCCAATCTGATCTTCACTATCGACTCAGAGAAGGCAAGTGTTGGTAAAAATTTGCAGTCTGTTGGAAATGCTTTCGGTGACGTGTTTGTCACGAGTCTGACTCATATAGAATCAGTGACTGACTTAAAAATGACGTTGAAAATCCGTAGTTTGTTTCTTATGCAGAGTGTAGATTGATACTGGTTCGATTCGACATCGTCGTCTCTGCCATGTGGTTTTAGTTGAAACAACTCTGCACAGTTAGATGAGTGAAGGCGGTGGCCTCTTTCAAATTTCTTCTGTTGATAATGATTTGGGGCTTGTTGTTGTTGGTTGTCCTCATCACCTCCATCTTTTCTATGCGCACTTGCATTCCTATCTTCGCCATCTGCTAGTCTTTTGGTTTTCACGTTCAGATCTTCAAGTTTATGTGACATTAGACATAAATCATCCGCCAAGTTCAGATCTACTAAAGCCTTCGTATCGGCCCAATGTAGTCCTGTGTTCTCGCTCCCCACGAATGGTGTTTCACATAATCCAGTGTACCACAGTTAGAAATACCATCGGTGATATTAGGAAGCTATGTCTTACTGCTGCATTTACTTCAAAAGCTTCGCTGAGTTATCCATTGTGAATTATTTAACACGTCCCATTGTTTCATATTTTCTGAATAATATTGATAAAGTTTGGAGTAATTTGTATTGTTGAAGTCGTTTCCAAATTACTTCGCAGTCAATGCTGTTGAAGGTCTTTTCAAAGTGGATGAAGTTGAGAAAGATATTCGACTATCATGCTATGCTATGTTCGATGGTGATGCGCGTTAAACAGTGTAGAAAACGATACATCTTCGTGTCAGCAGTTAATTCTCCAGTTCTGAATCTTACTTTATTTGATCTAAAACCTTCAAGTTTCTAATAAAATATAACCACATATGTACTGATTTATTCATATTTCTCTTTGCTTGAGGTCATTTGCATTTTTTTTCACATCGATTCACCATTCATTTATCTCCCATTAGCAATCATAATATAATTCAACATTTCAACTCATTACCATAATTTTTATTTGCTTAAAAACAACATATATAGTGAAGAAACACGTTCCATTTTAAATTTTTTATATTCATGGTTAAATGTGTGACGATATGAATTACAGACTAAGCGATATGATGTACACAACTTGGAGGAGAGGTCTGTAAAACTAACAATAATAATAACAATAGGTTTGATCAGGAGTTCAGAGAGTTAAAGAACTACTGTGAAACTTGGGAGTACTGCACAAACACTAGGGTTCGAACTCAGGACTTTCTGGTTATAAGGCGAGCTAGTTCGTAGACAATTAAGCCACTGGGATCCGATCCAATGGCACGTGAATCCCATCTTCTGTCAATTTGTGACAAATATAGCGCAACCTCCAGCCAGTGTGATAGGCGAGTAATGGTTCTCTTACCAGACAAACAAACAAAGCAATATGCAGCAAGGTGATGTAGACAGGTTGATTAAAATAAAATGAAAGTTTACTTTTAAAGTTTATTATACGCATGAATCGACTACATCATGCTTACTTCTTCAAGCAGATAAACTTTAGAAATTTATCAAGAAATATCTGGCAGGTGTATGAAGAAAAAAAAGAATCCTTTTTACAGGGCATTAACTTATTCATATAAAGTGCCCCTCCGACCCATTTTTATTCTTGTATTTGTGAAATACATAACCTTTTATGTACTGCATCTGTTAATTGTTAATCGTTTTTTTGTGAATCATTTGGTGCTTTCTTGTTAGTCATCACACTTTTGACCAGTTTTGTTGACCGCATTAGCAAATGATTGAAAATACTTTAAGTTTGTTGAATTTGATAATGAGACTAAGATAGTCATGAGCTGACAGACTATTCCTGATCAATAGCTACCACCTTGACGTGGTGGTCATATTTGCATATCACAATGATCCAACGAGTGGTATTGGTTGGTACTAATGTTTTCGGAGGTCCTATCACGCCAGAAAGATTGTTAGGATAGCTACTAGACTAAAAGTACTTATCGCCATGGTTCAAGATGTTGACACTACTCTTGGTTGCTGTGGATAAATTTGTGCTGCAGGGGAATGGGGATGTAACAGTACTAATGACTAGCATGGCAGCTATCTTACCTCTCCACTCTGGAGAGGGGAAGAGTAGAAAAGGTTGGCCCCAAAATTTTTACATCCCAACTTACCCTACGGTGGTCTGAAGGCTGCCGTAAGCTTCTAATACGGAAAAAAACTCTAAAATCCAATTCACACAGGCCGTGTGTGACGGGTCTCAAGCAGTTTTCGGGGGCTGAGATCAAGCAACACTGATTCGCTTTCTGTTTCACGTACCCTAAGAAAAATTCAACTTTCATGACATGAGGAACCAGGAAGTAACAACCACCCACACACCTCCAAAAGAATATGAAGGAAGCTCTCGTGATCATCAACTGCCTTTTTATACATCAGTTAGTAACAATCTGTCACTGATGTAGTAGGTGACAATTGAAGAATGCAAGCCGATAGCCTCAGAATTACTCGTCTGATACTGAAACCAGGTGAGCTATGAAATCCAACTGTCATTATTTCACTGCAATCATCACGGGTTAATGTCAAGATATCTTATGGCTGAATGGTATATTACTGTCTGTTTTCTTGTCACATTGTCGTTATCATTAGCATCAAAGTTATCATCTGTCAAACTTAAAAGTTTCGTACTAATAAGTAGTTGCTTCTTCCTTATCAATAGTGTAGTCATGCATTTTAAATCAAACTAAACCTTGAAATTACTGAGTAGACTATGAGATATAAATTTAGCCACGGTTTTTGTGGATGCTATTCAAATGTAGACTGTATCATGATTGCATATTAGTCTATGAGACGATATGGTCGACTTAGCAGTGACATTAGTTATATAAATATAGTTTCAGCCCATTGAGTACTGACCTCATCAGTGACAAATATAAAAAATCGAATTTGAAAGATGAAATGCCTACGGGTTGCTGGACAGCTTAGCAACAATAACAAAATAATATTGTTAACATCTAGATACCCTTATTTACCAAAGAAATTTATAGTAGCTTAAGAGTAACTGCTGTCAAAACTTTTCGAATACGAATTCAACAGAGAACAGTATTATATATATATATATATATAACTGTTGTATATTGACGATTTGATAGCCAGAGAGAATTAGCAACAATAAACTCTCGAAACAAGCCAATCAGGAATCTATTGCTCAACATATATGCCTATGGAAACCGAGGTAGATCGGAAACACACTGAGAAGATCGTCGAATGACATTGTGCATCAGGGCAGCTCCTGAATGGAAGTCGAACGGGAAACGACTAGTTGGGCGTGTGTCCGAGAGCGATATGGAGAAGATTGTGTGAAGAGGAGATGAGAGACCATGGAAAGTCATGTAGGCAAGTAAAGAGGACTGCGGAGAACAGAATATCAAAGCGTACAACCGGGACCTACTGCATATCAGTAAATAATTACTTAACCCTCGTATTATCCTCAAAACTCACTAAACAAAAATGGAAATTCAAAACTTAGATTTCAACATATTTTAAAATTTATTTGAATAAGAATCCAGATGTGAAAACATTGAAAACCAAAAAGTATGCAGAAATCAACCACACAAAAAAAAGATTGGAACTTGTTTCTCTAGAGTTGATTTCTAGGGAGGAGAAAGAATAATAATAAAAGATATTCATAATAAATTAGCTAAATGAATACATTTCATTGTGTCCAATCGCCAGCATTTTCAAAAGTAGGTTTTGAATTTACAACAGACAAAGGACGATCATCAGATGATACTTGAAATATACGCACAGTATTGGTGAAACCACTTCCAGCTTCCTGTCCAGTAACTACAATGATTTGATCACCATTACCGACAAATCCACGTTTCTTAGCAAAATTCAGTGCTGCATTCAATCTTTCATCCATATCATTAGACCATTCTGATAATTTCTCACCTATGCAATAATAATAATCATAACAGTAAGATATTCAAAATATTAGTAAATTATTCAACAGACACTTGTTCAAAATTGATTAAATACCCACTGCAAAAAAGATGATGAGGATGATTTACTTTATATGTGTCCAAACCAACTTCACTTTTAACGGTTTGAAAAAATTTGGGCATTGGGTATATGATATTCATTATAAATAAAGGGTTTTTTGTATTTCCCAATGAATGAAAAACAAAACGATATTGTTTTTATTGACGTTTCGCTATTTAATGCTAATAGCTTTATCAAAGTATCCTTATTACCGAAAGTCTTGATATCATTTCCAGTCTTCTAGAATCAGATACAACGCTATCACAAAGATGTCCACTGGACACCAGTCAAATAATTAAGAGCTTAAAATTCTGTCTAGAAAATAATTATTTCACATTTAAAGGGAGTTTATATAGACATAAAAATGGTGTTGCTATGGGTTCACCAGTCTCCCCAATAGTCGCAGACCTTTTCATGAATAAATTCGAAAATAACATCTTTTCAAGGATACTCACTCCTAAAATATGGTTAAGATATGTAGATGATACTTCTGTAGTACTAAAACGAGATCTACACAATTCATTCCTGGAGAAAATAAACTGTGTATCTCCCAGAATCCAATTCACTTCGGAAGCAGAATCAGACGTCGGTGAACTACCATTTCTAGACTGCCTAATTAAGAGAAGGGAAAACGGACATTTTAGTATATCCATATTCAGGAAGAAAACCCACTCAAATAAATATTTAGACTTCAAGTCATCACACCCCATCAGCGCAAAGATTTCAGTTGTTTCAAGTCTTCTTAGACGAGCACACTCTCTGATAACCGACGAGAAAGAAAAAGAAGAAGAAATATCAAACATTACTGAAACTCTCAAGCGAAACAACTACCCATGGAACTTCATCAACAAAATCAACACAGACATTAAGTATGGCCGAAAACGCATTCCGAAAACATGGACATCAACAGTCGTCATTCCATATAGAACAGAGACGTCAGACGATATCAGCAGAGTGCTCAATCAGCTCGACATTAGAGTTTTCTTCAAAACATCAGACACACTTCAAAGCAACCTTGTCCATATAAAAGACCAAATCCCCAAAGATTCTCTATCTAATTGTGTCTATAAAATAAAATGCTTGGAATGTGATGCGATATATATCGGACAGACATCTCCAGAGAGAAATCAAAACCAGAAGAAATGAACACCGTAGAGCATCTGTTCGACCACCGAGAAATCCTGTTGAACTACAAAGACTTGAAAAATCATCAGCCATAGGTCAACATGCTATAGAATCAGGCCACAAAATTGATTTTGACAATATTGAAATAATCCAGAAAAACTTCAGAAATCACAAAGAACATCTAATGTCAGAAGCACTTCATATCAAGTGGAATCGAAATTGCCTGAATAGGAATGATGGACTAAAACAGAATCTGACCTGGTTACAACACCTCCCTCCCCTCATCAAGTGACAAAACCAACACGAATGTGATAAGCACTTTCATCATGTAAACACACGCTGCTTTTATAATCTCAAACACTTATCAAATCCAACAATCTACACATGATGGTTTTGTTATCTTTACCAATTCACCAACTTGACAACTAAAAATGCCCCCAGACAGACGAACGATGATCAAGTTAGTAAACTTTATTTTGATATCATAACAGACATACTATTACCTTTGTTATTTGGTTTAGTGATCGTCATTGCTATTTTTACTTTCAATATTTCCCTTTAACTTGACCTATGTCTATTTTCTCACCCCTAACTGTTTGTTATACATATGCTGAGATTTTGTAAATTCCGGTTTAATAATACTTTGGTAAAGCTATTAGCATTAAATAACGAAACGTCAATAAAAGCATTATCAAGTATTCGTTTGGTAGGGATTTTGTTTAATTGCATGGAGGATTTCATCAATGGTCATCAATGGTCTACGAGCTCACCTTGTAACTAGAAGGTCCTGGGTTCGAATCCCAGTGGGCGCGTACTGCTGAAGAGTCCCAAACTAGGACGAAACAACTGTCCAGTACTCCCAGGTTTTCCAGTGGTTCTCTAACTGATGTCAGCTCATGATGAAATTCTCCATGCAAAAACAATATCGTTTTGTTTTTCATTCATTGAGAAATACTAAAACCTCTATTATAGGGATGATTTACTGATATGTGGATAAGACTGGGGCACTGGGGTATAACTCCATTATGGATAAAATTTTATTATAATGAAATCATACAGTATTATACAGTAATATTTACTGATGACCACGCTTCGAGAACAAATTATTGCCGTTCATAATCATATCAAGGTACTCAATAAACTTTCTTGCTTCACTTATATACCTGAGTAAAAATTAATGATTAGACATTGGAATAAAATCAACATAAGATAATGTACATTCGGAAATAATATTAGTGTTATCAATAAAGTAGAATAAGATGGGAAATAAGATGTTTTTATAGTCAAAATAAATAAGTGACTTGTTAGAATGTGAATTGAATACATTTCGACATTATTTATTATCCTCTGATTTGACTAGTAGTAATAATATCTTCCGTATCTCTAGTATTTGCGTTGAGTAACTTCTATTGCATGTGTCGGATGTTGACTCAATGAACAAGTATCCAGTAATCAATCTCTCTCTATCTCCATCTACCAAGATTACTTTTTAGAATTTCGACTCTCTCCCACCCTATTGTGTGGTTTTGTGTTGTTGCATGTAGTGCAATTGCTGAGTTTTTTTTTCTAAATTACTTATCTTCGCGGGTGGGATCAATCATTCTAACCTTAGCTAAATTATTATGTTCTGATAATCTCACTCCTACTGATCTACTAGTTTGACCTATGTAGTTGAATTAACTCACAGTCATTGCAAGGTATTTTGTAAATTAAATTATTTTGTTTAATTGGTTTAACCTACAGAGCTTGTCTCTGAGTGAGTGAGTTTATAGGTTTGAATGCCACCTTAATTCCTGCTTTATAGAGAATCCTACGTAGGAAGGGTCTCAGATGTTCCCTCCTTATATGTGGTATAACAGTAGATGCCTAATATTCTCTCTTATTTATGTTATCATTATTAGTTTCACCGATGTTTTTACTTTGCTTGTGACCTTTTCTGATGTTCCTAATGAATTTTATAGGATAGTTATTTGATAGCGACACTTCTTCTATCTGTTCCATTTCATCCTTTAGGTCTTTTCTTATACTACTTAGTGCTATTGCTCGGTTCGTTAGACGTCTAACTAAGTCTGCTCTTACCGATAACGGATGAGGTGAATTAAGTTGTAAATATCTATTCGAATGTGTTGGCTTATTATAAACGCTAACACGGCTAATTCTCCTTGTTCATTTTTCGATTCAAATGTGAATTTTATCCCTTTACTAGTGACTGTATTCAATTTTTATTCATATATATATATATGTATAAATATATACATATATATATATATATAAATGAAGCAAGATTTATATATTTGAATATTTTTCTGGTAAGTAAAAAATGATTTTTCACCATGAATTAGGTATTTCTGTCAACTATGAGGTTTGTTTAGGTGAATTTTTGCAGGATAGGAATATTGTTTAAAAAAATGATCATGCGAAACCTGTTCTAATGGCTAGGAAATTATTTCAAGTATGTCACCCTTACTGAATTTTATACCTAAGATTATTTCCTATTATCAGAACCACTTGTTATTACTATTGGCAGTTTACAGATGAAACCTTATTGGTATAACTGAGGAACAACCTGCATTTTTATATATTCGAAAACGATTAGGACCTACTAATACTACTAGGCTGTTTTATCTACGACACATGAAGTGTGGTTCTAAATAGAAAGCCACCAGTGGAGAATCAAATTTAATAACTTATGAACCACAGATTTCACAAAATCTCCCAAATAAAGATGGTTTATATCACAGACAAGTTTTTTGATGCCTGGTTTTTGATTTTAAAAGCCACAAATTCGTGTGGCATCATCTGAGGTTTAGACTAATGACAAGCACACTGAAATATTTTCGAAAACATAATCGCGTTCGCAAACTGTTTTCCCTTGCCACACCTTTCTTACAACCCTCACTTTCTTGTAATGCCTTGCACTGCGGTGTCCATAATCGTGTTACAGGCAGCTGGTTTAAGGGTAACGCACTTATCTTACATTTGTCAGGGGCCAGTGTATGATTATTGCTGATGAAATCTCAGCACAGATGAGAAAGACTCGTGTGACAGTTATTAACTTACGTAATTTCTGGAGTAGATGTGATATCTAGCTATCTTGAGTGTGAGATGTAGCTGTTTACTGTGGAAGAAATAAAGCAGCTATGTCTTCTACAGGCGTCTGAGTTTTATCTTCCGTGTTAAGTATTGTAATATGGTGGGTAGTACTGAAGTCAGAGGTAGGGAGTAGACAGAACTGCTATACTTCTGTGGAAAGTCTTATGTTGAAACTCGTCACTCAGTAGTATAGAACAGTCGCTTAACGTAAAAAATTCTGACGCCTTATGGCTCATCATTTTAGAGTTGGGTCACAGTTCCCTTTGCAAGAAAATTAAAACTCCTGCTTGATTTCTAATACAGCGACTATTTCCATATATGAAAAAAATATTTACTCATATCAGCACCTATGTAATACCATCGGTTTACTGAGATTTCCAGATGCTACTCATTAAACAAAAATCATAAAAGTATAAACAGAAGTGATGAAAAATGCACTGAATTAGAATCCTTTACAGATAATTACCTGTGAAAACAAATGGATGTATGCCACGTATAGAATGACATTTTCGTGCTACTTCAGGTCGCCTCATAATTGCGATTACCGGACAAGAAGGATGGAATGAAGCTATTGTCAAAGCAGAACTAAAAAAGAAATAGGTTATAAATAAATAACTTGTTCAGCGTATTAACAGATCATTAGTTTGTTAATAGCTAATCGTGCGTTGGCGGTTCATTGGTAGAATACTCACCAACCAAACATATGTCCTGGGGTTCGACTGCCTGCCGACACACTCCAAAACCTCGTTTAGCTGGTGGTAAGCCAGAAAGCGGGAGTAAGTTGGGTGTGAGACTAGCAACGTCACCCCTTAGAAAAAATAATAACTGGTTACAGGATTTCATCATCAGCTGACATCGGTTAGAGAACTGTTGGGAAACCACCTAGGGGTACTGGGCAGCTGTTTCGTCCTAGTTTCGAACTCTTCAGTACGCACCCATCGACAGGGTTTGAACCCATGACTCTCCGGTTATAAGGTGAGCTCGTGGACCATTCAGCCACTGGGACCTGATCCAATGACCATGAATTCCAACTTCTGCCAATTCACGATATGGTACAACCACTAGCGAATATCATCGGCTAGTGTTTGTCCTCACACCGAATATGTTGTACCCTAATGGTCACAATTTCTCCCTAGGACCCAGGTAACTACCTACCTGAATAGGTAGGCCAGTCGCTAGTGGGCATCAGATGAGGAGTCCAAAACTAGGATGAAACAGGTGTCCAATACTCTCAGGCTTTCCAATGGTTCTCTAACCGATGTCGTCAGCTAATGATGAATTCCTGTAACCAATCAAATCCCCGTAAATCGACACTTTAGTAACTAGTTAATTGGTGTTTCGGAATTATGAACATTGAAGCTATTGGCTGTTGTGTTAAACAATATGATCTGGGCCTCAGTTCATTACAATCATGGATTAGTTCTGCAAAAACAAAAGCAAGAATAATGGGTGAATGGTAAATTATTCATTAGTCAGAAGTAAGGAATCTTTCACGGTTGTACACCTACGAAATTTGGTTACGATTATATTCATCAGATAAGGTGTATTTAGTAGGGATTTAGAAGTACACTTCTAGAAAGGGTAAGAACAACTAGTTAAATTTATCAGTGTTTGAAAAAAATGATGAGAACATCAAACCACATAAAATAACTAGTTCTGTTCATTTGCATCTCCGTTTTTCTTTCCTAATGAATAACAAACCGCACTACTTTAACCTTACTTTATTTTAGTCATTAGTATGAGATTTAATTTAAATAATTTATAATGAATCACTCTGACTCGGCGCTCAAATTATTCCAGGAAGTTCGTTACACCTACGGCCTGGAAACCTATAGTCATATTTTAGGTTTAAAAAAAATGTATATCGTTGTGTTCATTCACTTGTCCTGTTTGTTCGTTTTTCTGCTTTGTTGTTAATTTTGTGTCAACAAACCTGCGTACTCTGTGACGTTTTTCGGATTAATATAGAATAACGATACATTCTGCATTACTAACTCCTATTCATAATTTCTACTACTCTTTTAGATCCTCAGGTAAGTAACAGAAAATAACTATGGTGAAACTGATTTTGAATCAATATAACCAGCAAATGTCCTTAAAGTTCAATATATTTCGCGCTAAAAAAAATCAGTATTTTCATCATAAAAATTATAGCTTTCCAGACTTGAAAACTGCACAAGATTAATCTTAAAACTAAGCCCTGTATATATGAATATAATGCATTGAGTCTCAGAACAATTTAATACAGAAGAGCTACGACCTGTTTTTCACACAGCCAGATTCCAACCGCGCTTTATAGACCTGAATTTGTGCAGTCAGGTAATACTGTTAGTTTTCAAACCTTAGTTGCAATTACTTGTCAACTGACCGTAAATCTAAGAGGTTATTGGGTAACATTTACCTGCATGACTCAAAACAACAATCAAAAACTTTATGGATTAGTGCCATGTTCTCATCTGCCCACTCCCAACTGTCTTCAAACCTAATCCTACATCAGCTAACATTGCTTTTGGAAGAACGCGATGGTGTAAAACATATCTAATGATAGACTAAAATTAACCACGTCAGACAATATCTTCATTTCTCTTTCTGCATCTCACTCTTTTGAAAGGATTGCGAAATTAAGCGGAGTAATCTAGGAATTTGTTTGATGCTTCCTTCGCTGACAATAATAGATTTCTTCTTTAGAAATACTACCTGGAAAACAGTATGGTTATATGTAGAGCGGTTCTTAAAAACTATGCGCCACAACTTCATCGCATACACTTGTATATGGCCTTGGTAAAGTGTTCTTTCCCAGTACTGTGTGAACAACGAGCAAGATCTGACGGGTGTAGTGCTGTTGTCCTAGTCCTTCTTTTAAATTAGGTGTCCTATGGTTAGGTTATATTACACGTCTACAATAGTCAAAAGTGAAAAATATGTAAGATTATGCACTTACCGTCCAGAGGTAGTAATAACAAAAATAGCAGATGCATTAGATGTACTTGAAGCTTCAACAGCAGCTAAACCTGCAATATATCCTGCATCTATATACGAAAGTCCTCTTATTTCTCTAGCTGCTTTAAGATCTATCCAAAATTGTTCATGAAAAACAGCAGCTTCTGCTTCTCGACAAGTCTAAAAGACAATATTTTACACTTAAAGTTAATTAGAGTAGAAAATTGTTGTGCATGATGATTATATGTAGGGTGGATTTCAAAGAAGAATATTTTTAAAAAGCAATCTTCGTGCTTAGCTTTTTTCATTACAACAACAATTAAGGGGAAAAAAGATCGTTGGAGAAAGAAATCTTGTTTCAGAAGGTAATAAAAGGTGAATTAGTCATTCACTACATAAATCCCTGTTTTATAATATAATTGGGAATTTTATACTATGAAATGCAGTCATGATTTGTAATCGCATCCTGGTTAACTGTGAAACGGTCCAACCCCATGAAGGACGAAAGTAAGATGATGCACAAAAAGAAATAAGTATAAATAAGGAAAAGAATGTAAAACGAAAGTTGTTGCAAAAAATCGTTTATTTCCCACGTAGGTTAATAAGAATTAATAAATTAATAGATGGTTTTAGTGATACAAGAGAAGGCATGCTATAGGCAAAGAAGATGCCACGTTTCTAGGAGGTTTAGAGGCTACGAGTGTTGATGTTCACACAACGCAAGATCTACGACCTACAACTTTTATAGTATTCGTTCCGCGTGGACCAAAGGCAAAGCAAAACACCATGATTGATCGTCCAAATTACGAAGTATGTTTCGGGATCAAATCGGAGTGCGAGATGATTGCTTAACCAACTAGGAATCGTGCATGAATTAACGAAGGAATGTAACACGACGGCTTGCCAAATGGCATGGATGCTTGACCGTAAGCCTTCAGCTAAACAAATTGACTGAAACAGTGAGGGTCAGCATCCAGTGTTCAGTGATGAATGCTGTGGCCAATGATTCTGGGGAATTACCTACCGCTACAGAAGTCTTCATTTATATATGCCAAATCTGAAACCAATTAACTCTTACTGTATATAACTGTTAGTTGCGTGACAGTTAAAAGGGTTGTGGTTACATGCTGTCTGGTCACTAGTTTGCAACTAGTACAGCTGTCTAATCATAAGTGGGTGAACTTATAGATTCCTAGTAGGTGTACGATAGCATAACTACATGAATTGACATGGTTCTTCAGTGCACTTTATTGCACTGTAATCTGACCATCAGATATGGAAACAATCAACCGACAGGAAGCTCTGGACATAAGTTCATGGTGTTTAATACTCATGAGTAAGACTTATGTGCAACTTTCAGGAAACTTACACTCCCTCTCGTATTACTTAGCATCACAGAACAGTAAACTTGCTAATAAGCTATCCGAATGTAGGACTGATTGATGGAAAGGTTAATTTTTAATACAATGCTTGATTTGATAATAAGTTTTTACTGATTAGATATAAGATTTTTACATTTTCGGTGAGCTACTTTGTACCAGAAACAATCGGTATACATTTTTAAAATAAAATTAGCTTAATTATTTGAAGTAGACACCATCACTGGTCCTTAATTTGAGCCAAAACTGATACCACAGGATGGTCTCTTGGATCCATTTAAGGAAGACTTCTTTCGAATCAACAAATGGTCCTACAGTCCACTTTACTGGTAATAATTCAAGTTCGAAACCATCAATCCGAAATAACTAAATAACTAACTTCAGCAACTGTTCTTTAGTAAAATAATTATGTCCATTGGCTTTGAATAACTAGTATAATCAAGATGATACAGGAGAGATATTTATTTACTTTTCCATTGAATGTAGTTTGGTTTTGACGTCCAGTGAATGTTGTTTATATAAATTTAAACTACATAGTACAGTATCATAGTATGTTCGAAACTTGTAATTTGACTCTGGTCTATATGTATAACTCATACAAGTTGCAGTCTACTGCATGAAAATATAGTCCATTAATCTATCGATGCAGAAAAAAGTAATGTACGGATGAAAATGAGAACATAACGCTTTCTATAATAACCCCTGGATTAATTAATAGATAAAAAATATAAAGTAAGTTATAAAACTCAGCAAGTGTAGTTAGATGTCAGTTTGTCACAACTATGTTAACAGCCAAATGACACTTTCGGCGAACTCACTGAAAAGAGACTTTTCACTGAACTACTGATATTCTCTATGTTAATGTTCGAATGGTGATTTTTCATGGGTTTAAAGATAAGTCTAGCTTTTCTCTTGAACTGACTGTGTAATGTGCTTATTAAGTGTAGTTTATAATTGTAAAATATGGAAATCTATTGATTAACTCATTCTGTAAGAATCGTAAAATTTAGTCTAGATTATATGCATATATAAATAATTCACTTTAATAATAATAAAAATATAAGTGGTAATTTAGAATACCTTGTGTAAGACTGTTAATGATTCTTTTGGAAACATTCCTCTTGAAGTTTCTACAGTTAATATAAGTCCATCAGCGCCATCCAAAACAGCATTAGCAATATCACTAATCTCTGCTCGAGTGGCTCGAGGTTTAAATCTCATTGACTCAAGTAAATGGGTTATAACAAATACAGGTTTATGGAGTATATTGCAAGCTGCAATTATTTGTTTCTGTATCTGAAAAACCTTTTCATTTGGATAGCATAAACTGAGAGGACCACGTCCAATAATAATGCCATCGGAAAATAACATTATATCATTCAAACTGAAAATAAAAGATACATTTAGGGAGCAAATCAAAGTCGATATCACACTTGTAATATCATCTTAATTTTTTTTAAAGTATTCAGGTGGGCTAAAAGTGACTACTTTTTATTCTAAAATGTACTACAATAATAATTACACAGAGTAGAATTTTTAGCGTTTTTATACATATTATAACAATTTAGCTCCTTTTATAAATATGTATTTACATAAAATTTAAGATGGTAATAATAATAATATTAATAATGGGACCACTATAAACAGAATGTTGGTGGAAACATAATGAATTATAAATAGATATCACATATAATACATGTAATAACAATCTTTACTTATACTTTGCAGTTCAGAATACTGATTTAAAAAGTTTATTTGTTCTTTTCTGACATCTGACTCTCTCTTCACACAAAACCCGTGCTAAATACGGTATGGTAGAATTTCTATATTTAGCTGTACGAGCATACATTTTTATGAAGTTTCATCTGGTTTTACCCAAAGATATACAAAGCAAAAGTTGAGAATAAAGAGGATGTTCAGTATCAGAAAAGATAACTTTAGCCAAGTTATTGCAAGAATTGAAATGCCTAGTGAAAATAATGTCAGTTAATGAAGTCAGAGACACCGCTAACCCTACTTACAGCCTTCAGCATTCTACCTAATATGATATAGTCTTTTTTGAGAAATCCAGGGAAGAATAAGGATGAACAATAAAGAAGGATGGGTGGAATACATGAATTAATAGATTGCAAGAGATGTTGAGTTATCCAGAAACTCTCATTATCTCTGTGTAATAAGTCAGACGAAAATTTCCCTTAAAAATCAACAAGATATGACAAGACCAACACAGATTCGAAGAGAAAGTGATGCCGAGATAAGCGATATTCTATTAACTCTCTATCACACTGCCGTCAGTAGTACAGGAATCATGAGAATGAACCAGTTCACGCGAGTCTTTTTCGCACTTGAAACTAAAATCAACAGTATGACATTTAGATGGATTCAATTTAAGACCACTTGTTAACTTCAGATAAGAATCGATTCATATAAGAACAATGCAATGACAAAACTACTGGGACAGAAATGGTCAGATCGTCAGCATATTTAGTGAAATTAGCCTTGGGAGAATACGGAAGGTCTTTCTAAAAATAATAAAAAAGGAATGCAGAGAGCATAGCTCCTTGAGGCTCACTAGTTTCCATTAGCAAAGAAGGGGGCTCTTTCCATTCAAAACGGTATGTTGTTTTCTATCCGAAAAATAAGAAGACAGCCATCTTGTTATCCAGGACTCAGTAAGTGTTGAAATCAGCCTGTCTAGTAACAGAGCCCTAGGAATAGAGTTAAAAGCAGTAGTGTAGCCTAAAACGCAGGCTTGAACAGCTTTGCGCCTTTATCAAGATTTGAAACAATATTGTGGTGGAGTACAACGATGACATCTAAAGTGTTTCCACAGCATTTGTAAACAGACTGCTTTGGACCATTAAACAATTTCAAAGAGGGCTTAAGAAGATGCAAAAGAAGTTTCTCTATAGTTTTCAGAAATGGAAACGTGATGGCGATTGGTCCAAACTCTTGACCTGATCCACAAGATGATTCTGGTAAAGACACCAGCTTTATTTCCCTGCGAAATGAGGCATTAAAGATTTGTGTGAGAGGCTGACACAAAAAGTCAGCACACTTTGAAGCAAAATGCTTGGTACACCAATAGTCAAAGCTGATGAAAATTTCATACGGTTTCAGTATACTGAACCAGTGCTGTCAAAATGAACCAGAAATTATCCGCCTAGTCAATGCTAACTATATACCAATTATAAGTAACATAAAAAAATAATGACTTACTTTTTTATTGATTCTTTGGTTTCTATTTTAGAAAACAAAAGAATATCCTTGCCTAAAATGTTCTTAGCCTGTGCAACCTGATTTGCATTTGAGGCATAACCAGTGAATACGTAATCAACCTATTCAGACAATTATCAAATAGTTAACAGAACAACCTGACACTGAACAGCGAATTCTAGGTCGCTTTTATACGTAGTGTCGAATGTCTTTTCGTAAAGTCTTTCACTTGGCAGCTGAACACGTTTATAGCTCCCAATCTCACCTGCAGTGCAAATAAAATCAAACTTATGACGTACCTCCTTGTTCAACTAAACAAGTTATGCTGTCTATTTTTGTCTGAAGCATTTAAAACAATTAGTTCCAGGATTTCATCATGAGCTGACATTGGTTACAGAACCATTGGAAAACCACCTGGGAGTACTGGACAGCTGTTTCCTACGTCCTAGTTTGGGACTCTTCATCAGTACGCACCCACCAACAGGGTTCGAACCCATGACCTTCTTGTTACAAGGCGAGCTCGTAGACCATTAAGCCACTGGGACCCGATCCAATGGCCCATGAATTCTAACTTCTGACAATTCACAACACAGCGCGACCCCTAGCCTATGTCTTCGGCGAGTATTTGTCCTCACACCTGACCTGCTGCACCCTACTGGTCACGACTTCCCACTGGAAACCCAGGTAACTACCTATCTGAATAGGGCCAGTCGCCAGTGAGCATCTCATTTAGACAAAGCGATAAGAAGACGTAATTTGTCTGAATCGTGTAGTGTTGTATTTGCGCAACAATTTTCGAACAATCTGATCACACTCCACGGACTTGTCATAGGAATATATATGAAATTGATAAAGAGTTAAGAGGTGAGAAAATAGATTTAGATCAAGTTGAAAGGACATATTGAAGGTGAAAGTAACAATGAAGAATACTAAACCAAATAACAGAGGTAACAAAACATCTAGCTTAACTGGTATGAGAACAGAGTTTACCAAGGAACGTTTAGTATGATGATGAATCATTTTGGAACGCATAAAGGTAGTTTAAACTGTCTAAATGCCAGCTAGGGCTTCCAAAAACTTTAGCATATGCCCTAAAAACACATTTAATAGATATCTTTAAAAGATGTGTTAACGCCAATTTTACGTCCTGTCTCTATAATGTAAATTTCGCAACAGAGGAGCTAGGTCCTCTCCTCCTCCCCCCCATTAATGGGTTCTGAAGATTCTATTTGCTTCTGGTGCCATTTATTATTGTCTTTATTTTCACCCTTGAACTTATGTCTAGTCCCCCCGATCCCATTCGTTGGTTTATTTTCTGTAGTATTCATATTGTCTCACACACCATCGATTACACTCACCCTCGAAGCCTGTATTTTTGTTGACTTTATATCATATATATATATATATATATAAATCATTAAATTATTTCATCTCATTTTATCTCATGTTCTCAATGACCATGAACATTCAAAACTAACCGACTATTGTTCCATCCCGTCTTATACTTGTTCCACAATACACTTTCTGATATTCTAATTTGCCTTTATTGGTTTGCTGGAATTATATGCTTAAATTAATTAATGGATTTATAATTGTAGAACCTGAAGAAGAATTTATTGAAAACAATTGTTCGCTCTAAATTTTTTGTTCTGAATAAATTATGGGAATATTCAATTTACTAATAAATATAGTCAACAAAAATACAGGTTTTGAGAGTGAGTGTAATCAGTGGTGTGTGAGACAATATGAATACTACAGAAAATAAACCAACGAATGGGGTGGACTTGACATAAGTTCAAGGTTGAAAATAACGACAATAATAATGATTGTAAAATAATAACAATGGTATGGTGTAAAATTACAAGTACTATTGGTGAATGATTGTCAAATAATAATAATGAATATAATGAAGTAGAATGAACAGGATTTTGTAAATACGATAGCAAGTTAGAAAAGCACTACTTAAACCGAAGGTAATAAATCATAAGAAAAGTCATGAAATCATAAAAGTCGAAAATGAACATTTGTCAATGAAACAAAGGAATAGAAGAAGAAGAAAAGAAAATTGTGATAAGAATTTATAGTATTAATGTTTATGGAGGATTTGTTGGCTTTATTGTAGGCCAAGGAAAACGCAGAGGTTGAACATACATTCATATTGTCTCACACACCCTGATTACACTCACTCTGGAAACTTGTATTTTTCTGTTGACTATATATATACATCATTAAATTAAATTACTTCATCTCATTTTGTCCCATGTTCTCGTTGACCATGCATATTAAAAAAACTAACTGACTATTGTTCCTCCCCATCTTGTACTTGTTCCACAATACACTTTCTGACGTCGTTCTAATTTGCCTTTACCGGCTGGTTGGTATTGTATGCTTAAATTAATTAATGGATTTATAATTGTAGAACCTGAAGAAGAATTTATTGAAACCACAACTGTTCGCTCTAACTATTTTGTTCTGAAATATTTTCTTCTAAATAAACAGCTGGCTAATTCAGCTTGTGTATTTTTAAATTTCAGGTAATATTAAGTAGTCATTATCCTATCCCATCTGACTACACACGAAATGGCTGTATACGGCAATTTCGCGCTTATCGGGACCCATCAATAAATGAATGTCGCCTCTTAACTATCTTTCACCTACAATCTTATTTACGCATTATACTGGTTAGTTTTTTTCCTAAAAAATTACAGATACATCTCCATATTAAAAGCCAAGCTTACATAGGGTCGTATTTACTGTTTTTAAAAAAAAAGAAGGGAACGATATGACTGGCATGGCTAAAACATTTGCATGTAAACAATGTTCAGTAGATCAATGAGAAAAAAGGGAAAGCGGAAAGACAAAAAATTAGGTGATAATAAAACCCTTTTATTGTCTATAATGGAATATGAAAACAAAAATTAATCAATGAAGCAGCTGTTTATGCAAAAATGACTCATCAGCTAACCTAAATTGATTACTTTCTGCTAAGTAATATATATATATTTCCCAGGTTGTTTGTTTATTGATGTTTTGTTTTCTTTCTCTGCTTTCATCCATGCATCTTGTCCAACACGGTGTACATGTTTATAAAATCGTTTGATAAATAAGTTACTGACATTTAATCGACTGTCCTTATTATATTGTACATATAATAGATTTTTATTAAGGAAACTGTGAAAAGGATGTCTTTTCTCTGGTGGAATTATTTGTAAAACTTAAATAGTTTGCGCTTATGCAACACTGAATCGTCATATGTTTCAGATATTTCAAGAAGGAATCAACCTCCACAATCTAGGAAGCTGGGAAGTAACAATATGATGTGGCTTCGTTGATACATCCGTAGACTTTCACTTAGATTAACCAACTACAAGGTCTTGGGCTCGAACCCCGGTGGGCAAGAACCAAACCAGGACGAAACAGTCGTCTAGTACTTCTTGGTTTTCATTGATTCCCTAGACCACATCAGTCTGTGATCAAAATTTAAACTGACTGTCCTTATTAAGGCATTTAATCAAGATTTCGGAGAAAATATTCTTTCAGCAGTGATCACATTTTCATAATTTTATTTGTATGTTGATTAAGACTGACAGGGATTTTCGTTCATTTCTGTGTAGATTTTATTGCTTACTTCACATAACTTGAATGTAGTTTCTAACTGAATTATAAATCTTTTTATGGTGTAAACTTCATCTGTTATTTTCAATATAGATTTCTTCACAAAGGTCACTAGAAATCAGACGTCTCTAAACAGCTGTTTTGTCCTGGTCTGGGGGGAGGGTGACACTTTAGCAGTGCACACTGATGACCCCATCAAGAATCGGACCTAAGACTTTCAGGTTAGAGGCCAAATCCCTTAAACAACCCATTAACTAAATATCAATCTAGAGTTCATTGATGGCCGTTGGATAGATGTCTTTAAGTTGTTCTGATAAGTCATGGCCAACGGAGTCCACCCTGTCAAGGTGATGTGGATGTTCATCAAAGGTATTGGTTAGAAATAGTGTTGTATCATCAGCTGACAGAAGCTAGAATTCACACCTCATTGAATTCCCTACCAAGTAACTAAATGGTAAGCCAGCTTGATCTCGTAGCCTGAAAGTCCCCGGTTCGATCCCTGGTAGCCTTCAACGACCCCCAAATAGTGTTGGTTCTTGAAAAAATCTACATTGAAAATAAACGATAAAGTTTTTCAAGAATTAGTTTGTAGGGATTCGATTTATCTCAGTTTTGATCACAGATTTATGTCAGTCCTTGTGGTAGAAGTAAGAATTCATGGGCCACTGAGCCAGGTCATAATGGCTGAATGGTCTATTAGTTCACCTTGTAACTGGAAGGTCCTAGGTTTGAAACCCGGTGGGTGCCTATTGTCTGTGAGTTCAAAACTAGGACGAAACAACTGTCCAGCCCTGGCTGGTTTTCAGTGGTTCTCTAATGGATAAGGCTTTAAAATATGTGTGAACGATAGAAGATAAGAAATAGAAAAAGAGGGAGGCAAATATTTAGACACTGAAGAAAAAGGAATATGAGTTCGGCATTCTAGAAGTAATTTTTACAGCCTAATTTTTTATTATAGAAACAGAAACTACTACAAAGATCATCTGGAAAGCCTGTCACTTGATATTTTGTCGAGTTTGGCTAATTACTTATATTGGTGAAAATATCAGAAAGCTAATGCATGCATGTGTGTGTATTCTTCGCATTCTAGACTGCATTTTAGAGATGTTTAAAAGACATTGAGTAGCATGGTGCGTTCAGATTTTATCCCATATTCAGGAATACAATAGAAGATGATAATGTGAAACAGCTGTCCTGCAGTCCCCGGTTTTCTATGGTTCTCTAACTGATATCAGTCCATTGTCCAACCTGAAATTAAATAGAATCTCTACAAAAACCAATTCTTGGGAAAAAATATAAATATATTGATGATTTAATATGTGTTCTATTTCATTAGAGATGTTACTGTCATTACTCGTGTTCTAGTGCCACTAAATCAAACTTAGGTACATAATACATAGTTAGTGAAGTCGCCGATCACATAAATAGTATCTATATGTCAAACAGCTACAATATAGTCTGACATGGATGAACCTGATGATTAGTCATATAATGAAGGGAAGGAAAATTGATAATTTGCTTAAAGGTTGCAGGATATGTTTGATGAGTGACTAAAACAGAGGTAGTATGCTAACAAGAATGCAGTGAACAGTTCATCACGAAATAATCGATACGTTAAATGAATGTGAAGGAACCATATATAGGGAAATA